AAATCCGGAAATTAAGCTGGTATGCGACCCAGATTCTCATTATAAATCTAATCCCCCCAATGTTTGAGAAACTTTGCAACAGTAAGACTAACCCCGCAGCATCCCAGTGCTTAAAGATTAGTTCTGAAACGAACTACTGCTGCCTGCTGATGGGTACTCCATGTGAAATTGCAAGGTGAAGAAAATATTTGTCCGTTAGCTTTTAATAAACCATAAAGCACTTAATTTTTGGTTCCAGCAGAGTAGAGAAAAGTAATTAAACAATTTAAAAAGGATCAAACTATCGAGAAGGAATTGACTACATATTTGCTCTTTATACCACTTGCATTCTTAGATGAACCCCCCACTGCAGAAACCTCCAGAGGACCTATAGTTAAGGAGAAAGAATAAAACAGTGCTTCATTTCTTGAAAACCGTCACAGTAGCAAAATGTCTTAATAAATGTTATTCCAACAACAAAGAACAGAGACTACAGCCCTGCATTCAGCAAACACCTTTCATAACTAACAGTGGTAAACAAAAGTATAACAAAATAAAAATAAATAAATAAAAATAATAAAAAGAAAAAAAGAAGAAAAGAAAAAAGTAGCCAAAAAATAGTGCATGGTTCTTTATAAAAATTACTTCTAATAGCTGCTTATAAAAAGCTAGGCATCAACGTGGAGTTTTCATTCGACAACTCCAATTTACAACAGAAAAAAATTCAATTCAAAAAAAAAAAAAACCCGCATAGAAGATCCATATGTATATACATGATACATGAAAACTAATGAAGTACTTGGAGCAAGAAAATTCCAAAGCTCCAAATTCTTCTTTGTTAAGCCAGTAACCACTAATGAACAACAAAATCAATTTCGTAATATTAAGAACAACTGTCAATCGTGAGGTCTTTTAAGACCTCTTCTCACACAGTTTCTTTCTATAAAATCGATAAGAAACTCTTTTGTTATGGGATTCCGAATAGTGTTAAAGACCGAAACGGCAGTTGCCTTCGAGTTAGGCAAGCTTTTATCTGTCCTTTCTCGCATAAATTCCCACTTGTTGTTCTAAACTATTTTCAGATCAAAAGCAAAATATTTATGGTTTGAAAACTAATTTTTTGAAACAAATAAAAAAGCTTGAAACATACGACGTATCGGCACTCGATTATCTTATTATCGTAAGGCAGCAACTTCTTTGTAACCTTCATTTTATCAACTGGATCCTTTTCGTGTTGCACATAGAGATAGCCTACATACTCAGGTAATTCTCCAGGCCTTTCTTCTTTAATAATTTTGAGTTTAAAATCAATAGAGTTATGGGTGGACGGCTTCCACTTCAACAGAGTATCTAACCGACCAGGGCGATACGGCTAAATTGGGCTACGTTCAAGCAGCACAGCCAACAAAGCTTTGAGTTTTAAAAAGACATAATAACAGAAATAATGAAATACGACAGCTAATTTATACAAACAAACACCAATTTTACCTCATTGACAGGCTGAAAAATAAGTCCATCGATTTCGTGCCCCACAGACTTCAGGAACTTTGAATCAAAAACTTTCCTAACTTGTTCCAATGGCCAAAAATCCTAACAAACATATTACTGTGAGTTAGCAACTCGGAACAATTTCAACCACTTAGAAAGGAACAAATACCGGTTCCGATATAATAAACCTTTGCGCTACTTCATCCAAACCCTCACTTTTATTCGTATACTAATAGGTTCCAACTCCCTTCTGATTCTCCCTGTCCCCATTGCTTTAACCCGAGGATTAATAATCCCTTTGTAAATACAATCCATTCGTTTCCTAAAGTTCCAGTCCTTGGTATCCGTTCCCTAAAATGTACCCCAATGTTGTATATACCTCTTACTTAAGATATTTCACAGAGGCGGTGCTTAATAAAGCATAACTAAGAGACCAACATCAATCCGTATAACGTCGTAGATCAACAAACGAGGCACTTGGGTTTCTCTACCATTTGGCTCTTTCACCTAAAAACCAGTCAAATAAACGACTATTACTGTCAAAAAAAGCCTCAAAAAAAGAAGAATTTTGACCTTGTCTATTATCATTTCAGCGTCTACTAAAGTTGCCCTCAAATGCCTGTCTTCATGAGCGCTCAGAAATGTGACATTTGGGATACGAAAGACATTATTGTCTCTATCAAATGCAAAAATCTTATCTTCGCCGTTAATCAGCACCAGATACCTGAAAAAGCCTAAAGAGGCTCGAAAAATCAAGTGCAGTTTTAAGAAATAAAACCACTGCTTCTGTCATGCAGTAAAAAATACAAAATATTTACAGGCTAAGAAATGTTACCTTACTCCGTCTGCTTTCCAAGAGAAAAGATATTCATTCTGAACAATTAACTGCATATTATTTCTTTCTGGAGAGCACTCCATAGAAACAGGTTGACAACCAGGAAATTCACTCCTTTTACTGCCACACATTTCCGCTATCTGCAGAAAAAGATAGCAGTCGTTATTTTCTTACTTTAAAATACATAAAAAACAAAAAAACTGCAAAACTAAGAGGTTAAAAAATGAGCAATTTTCTCCCAGAAAAAGGGCCCAAACACTTTCTTTCTAAAACCGAAAAAATCAGAAGAACGATAACCGACAAACATTATAGGAAAGTTTTACATGTTCTCGTTTGCTTCTCCATATCTAACCAGTGATACCTCAGAAATAACTGCTCAGTGAAACAGTTTGAAACAACCAATAAAAGAGACCGCCTCCTCCCCTATACTAGATTTCAAAAATAAAACACGACTTCAAAAAAAAATTTTTTCAACCAGAAACAAAATAACAGTTAATCAGACCATGCTCTGCAACTGTTCCCTCAGCAGCCTGTCGGTTACGTATTTTACACAGGGGACCAACCCATCCATGAACTGCGGAACACCTTAAAAATTTTTCAATTATGTTTATACGTTCAATAATTAGCCAGTAGTACTTAATTAGACCAAGCAGAGTCTAAGTGACTTGAAAATTTGCCTGATTTACCCAAGTGATGAAATACTAGATTTCTAAAAACCCCTCGGATCAAGCAAGACTTTGAAAACTGAGAACGGTTTTGAAAACCGGTTCTCGACTCTCGGCTCTCGACAGTATAACCCATACCTAATTTATTGTTCAGTGGAAGTGTTTCAGAACCATTCGATAAGGACGACTCGGCAGTTTGTTGATCGCTGTTACTAGGTTTAGCAGTAGATTCATCCACGGGACCATTTTCCCAAGCTGGTCTTGGAGGAGCCTGTAAACTAAGTTGTTGCAACAAAAACAAAGTTTTATCAGTTTTCCTGTTCCAATAAAACGGCTCACCAAAATTTTATCATCAATATCTCCATACCGCTTAAAAAGCTCGTCAATGTAATCTTGTTTGTAAATCCCATCTGGCCTACACACGGCAAAGCTCCCAATCGCTGCGTCAATTGCCCAACCAAGTTCCTCAACTAAATATGCAGCAATGAGAAATCCTGTTCGATTGTACCCGTGAGTGCAGTGAACAGCGACAACTCCCTTTGGATTATTCTAAAAATCGTTCTTAAACGAAACTAATAATAACCTTTAAAAAAGAAAACAAAAATAAATCACGTCTATAAATTGGTTATAACTAGACAAATTTTAAGTCCCCATTACCTTAAGAAATGCCGAAACTTCGCTACAAAAGCTTTCAGTCTCCTCCTCCGAAGGCGTAGCCCCATGCCCCTTCATGGGAAGCTTTTTATACAAGCAATCTTTCTTCTCGACCTGAACCAGAAAAAGTGAACAACTATTATCATTAAGCATAAAAAAGATTTGAAGACTGTAATAAACCTCTTTCTTGCTGTAATAGCGCTTAGTCTTAGTTAAATCAAGCCAGAGTCCAATTTTTGCACCTGACTGGACCCCCTTCAACTTCGCGTTAAAAACATCAAGCGGATGAAATCGGTATTTTTTTTCAACCATATCATCATACATAGAGCAAAGAGGAGTCTTGAAAGGTAAGAAGTGTTCTGCTATGACCTAAAACTAACTTTTGCTACTTTATTTCCAATTTATCATTGAAAATTTTGAAAATACTACACATAAATCGAATAAATGCAGGAAACTGTAAGTAAAGCTAATAAAAATCACTTACTAACTAGTATACAACATGTAAAACCCGTACACATAAATATGAGACAAAGAATCCAAGCGAACTTAAACCATGTATTATCTTAAATAAAATAAAACTTTTTCACTGGCTGCAATCTGGATTAAAAGCTATTTTATTTACAGACGACCTACCTTACCCATTTTAGGACAATACATCCACCGATCAGGCGGGCCATGATGAACATTTTGCTCATTCGGCCCATCCGGATCCGGGTAAATAGATGAAGAACCCATTGTTAAGTTATGCAAATATCGTCTGCCAGGTAACTGAAACTGATACTGCTGTCAAAAAAAGAAAAAAAAAAAAAAACTAGTCGACGACAGGATAGAAAAATAACCAATGAAAAACAAGAATAAATTCAGCTAACTAAACGAACAGAGATCCTTCTTAACAAAACAATTCCTACAATATTGATACTAATTCCTCAGGAATCAAAGAGATGAAGCAAATAAAAGGAATGTACGTTATATGTATATAGCGAGGAAAGAAAATGACAAAAAACAGAGCGGAAAAAAGGATGCAAAAGTGCTCAAAATAATTTAGCTGATCTAGGCTTCACAAATGACGCGTTGCAAGGAAATGACCAGCGGATAACTTAGTTCCATCGTTGTATACATCTTTCTTCTATAAGAATTATCAGTAAAACATAGTTGATGTTCAGCAAAAATATTACTGTATGTATTTATTATATATTAAAAAGTATATGAAAAATCCAAAAAAAATCCAAAAAAAAAAAAGGAAAAAGTGTACAATGCAATAACTCTAATTTCATCATATATTTTGCTCAATCAAAGAACTGTAAACAAATAGGCAGCAAATTAATAATTTTAATTGTAAAACCATTTAACCATGCAAAATTATTTCAGCATGTTTTTTTCGTTCTTTTTTGCAAGCCTTTGATCAATGTCACCGAAATTAAACAGCCTTAAATTTGACACACATATCGGGGAAAAAAAAAAAAAAAGAGGAAACAGAAAAAAATGCAAAAAAAAAAAAAAAAAAAAAAAAA